CACAATTAAAAGAACCAAAGACTTAAACTACTTCAGTCTGTGTGCATTGAATTTATTTAATACACAAGTTTCACAATTTGAGTTGAATTACTGAAATAAATGAACTTTTCCACGACATTCTAATTTATTGAGATGCACCTGTAAGTGTGTGTGGACCGAAACAATCATTTAAAATAAATAAATACACACACAAACAAGCAAAAACACATTTAAGTAAATGCTCATAATAATTGTGCATAGTGATAGTTTTTTATTTATTTATTTGTTTAACTGTGAGTCACTTTAAACACTTTTCACACTCTCGCTGGTTTATTTAATTAACAGTGTTCATCAGTGGGCAATTCTGTTATTTATTTTTTTATTTTTTTACAAAATGTCAAAATTTTAATAGACTATCACATGTGGCGGGAAAAAATTTTTTTTTTTTAATAAATAGCTGACTCCTTTATCTAGCTAAGACTAACTTTACAGCATTGTGCTTACCCTAAATTTAGGGTACTGTCTAAGTAAATTAGGGTACATTTTTATACAGACAGTTCATTAACATGTTCACACTCTTTACCTGTAGTGTTGGGGAAAGTTACTTTTAAAAGTAATGCATTACAATATTGTGTTACTCCATAAAAAAGTAACTAATTACTAATATGGAAAGTAATGCGTTACGTTACTTTTGCGTTACTTTTTAAATCTGGACAGGGCTTGCTTGTTTGTTTTTAAAATAAAAAAGTTATATTTTTGGCAAATATAAAAACCTTTTCACACCAAAAGTGAAATGAATAAGCCTCAGGCTGAAGGGAAAGTAAATTTACGTCCGTACAGTAGAATACAGAAGAAGAAATTTCAACACACTTCAGCAATAAAAAAAACACACAAATGTTCGTCTAGAGTAATTTTTGCTTATTAGTATGGTTGAACTGGATCATCGAAGGTCAGAAGCAAAGACATTGGTTAATAGAATGGGATTAAATACAATAAAGGATATTTGTGTTGTTTAACATTTAATTATTGCATATTCTGAGTTGCATTATTTTTATTCATTTTGAGGAATACTGAATCTGTGTTTTTTTTGTGAGTGAGATGAATTAATGCATATTCATATTTATTTTAGAACTACAGTAACATCTGGTTTCTCTCAACATGGGGACAGGAGAGCTGTCAGTCAATAAATTGGAAAAAAAAAGTACTTATTTGAAAAAGTAACTCAGATATTCTCTTGTAAATTAAAAAGTAATGCGTTACTTTACTAGTTACTTGAAAAAAGTAATCTGATTACGTAACTCGCGTTACTTGTAATGCGTTACCCCCAACACTGCTCTTTACACCCTTTTTTCAGTTCATAACAGCTCTTCACTTAGACATCTTGGTAAACAGGTACACTTCTTTTTTTTTTTCTTTAAGTGCAAAATGATTGCTCCAAGTCAAATAACATTTATTTCTATAGATTGTACAAATATATACAGATTGTTTATATACATTTTACAGATCTTACAGATTGTAGACAAATTGTGACAAGGCAGATAAACAGGAAGACATCAAAAGAATCAATTATGGAAACTCCACACTATGATTATGATTGAAAACACACCACACTTTGGTTCAGAATTTGTGTAAAAACCATCATTCATCTTCACACAATAAACATTTAAATGATGTAGGCCTATGCATTTAAAATAATAAAACAACAACAACAATTATTATTAGTGCTGTCAAACGATTAATCGCGATTAATCGCATCCAAAATAAAAGTTTTTGTTTATGTAATA